AAATCATGGCTAAAAAAGTTTTATGGAAGGTAAGAGCCGAATTTTCTTCAAAAACAAGGAGACGTTACAGGTATGACAACTGAATCAACCGAATGTAACAAATTTTAAAATAAATTTTTCTGGAATAAATAGAATATATCTAATTGAAGACTGGGAAGAAACATATATTTTGGTATGGCAACTGAACAACACTATGTAAGTACATGATAAGCTCAGAAACCCTGAATTTTCACGTAATCGTGATCATGAATGATAGCATACAAATGATGAACCGTCTGAAAATCGAACCGATTACTATTGTTGGGCAGCTCACAGTCATATATGGCTCGAACAGTGTTTTCTGTTGCTAAGAAATTGCTAATCTCAAAATGGAAATCTGAAAAAATATCATGTAAGATACCTTAATGACTTATATGCATGCTATATCTGCCTGAAAAAATGAGACAAGCACAGTGAATTATTCCTCACAGAACAATTTTTAAAAGCAACTTATTCTGTGTTTTCTAGTCCTACATATAAAATAAATAAAACTGCAGAAGCAACTTATTCAGCAATGAAACCGTTCGGCTTGATTGTTTCTCATCGAAAATTGCCTAGATTAGAAGAAAATAAGATCGACTTCACAGACAGATATGGCACATAGACACTTTAGTCAGCAGCGTCTTCTCGCATTCACTCTTACCTGTCTGAAAATGTCCAATGTTATCCTTATACAACGGTATAATTTGTGGATGATAAACTTTTCATCAATCGGGATGATGAACAGCAGTTTTTTCTACTCTTTTACTGCACATAACCTGCAAACACACAAAGAGCCTGAAAATAGCGAATCAAGGTAAACGAATTAACATTGAATTAGCATCTAAACACATGATCTAGTATTTGAAAAGAGCAACAACACATCAATGTCATTGTTCTGCAACTCTGCTATAATGAGAGAGGTTGAAACAAGTGGAAATACACAATGTATAATTAAGCGTACACCTATGTGATCTTGTAAAAGCGACAGAATACAAATTATGTGCAGAAAATATGGATATGAAGATATAAGAAACAGAGGACAACAGCATGAATTCTTACCATCCAAACCAATAAGCTAATGAGGACTACCCAAACAGACAAAAATTTCCTCAATTTCTCTGACAATGTGGTTGCCTTCTAACTATTCGAGTTCATGCTTAAAGAACAGATGAATCAGATATCTGATGTGTCTGCTCTGGCACAAAAAAAAATATCAAAAAAATATTTAAAAAGGATATTAATTAAAATATTAATAGGAAATCAGTAAGAGATTAATCGAAGATTGAAATTTTCAAAAAAAAAGCTACGTGATCAGTCGTTAGCAAGGCGGTTTTCTACTTGTGTAAAATACTCACTCGCATCCTCTATCCTCTGTTCTATATAGTTTGAACTCTTTAAAACAGTGTAGTGCCCACAGTTTGTGAAAAAAATTATAAGTAAATGTCTGACGGAAGGCTCTTGAAACAGATGCATATGTTTGACCATTCGTTGGAGAACGAAGAAGAGTAGGTGAATACTAGAATCAATGCTTAGTCTATGTTAACATCAACGAGACTCATTTCAAATTATGTAAATGAGATGTTCATTACGCGGTACTCTTGGAAGCATCACAGTTCTTTTTTCACAATTCCCTTCTAAAAATGCAAACCTTGCTAATACGGTTCCAAAGAATGCTTCGGCTACTGGTTAAGCTTTCGAGAAGATCTTTCTTGAGATCCAGTCTATAGTATTCAAGTGTTTTGCATGCCTTCATTATAATTGAGTTTGTTGAAGATCAATAAGACAATAACCCTTACTATCTGAACATTTGAAAAGCTCCACGGAAGAAAAGGATTCTTTCTCGTTCCGGATCTACCTAATTTCACGTAGGGTATTGTATGTTCAATCCAATTGGTCTTCTCACATAGCAGCTATGGTGTATGACATAGATTTACAACTAAAAGTTTGTTTTATTTGATAGTTTACTATTGAAGAAGGATCGAAACCTGTTTTGGGCCATCTCTACATGAGGTATAGAAAAAGTATAAAGAATTTCTTTCAAGGAAAACCATCTCTCTCATAAAACATTTGAATGGCTTCTATTTCCCAATTGAAGTAATTCTCAGCACGACATTTCTTTCACCTTAGCTGATTAGAAGTATTTGAAACAATTTGAACAGAACAAGAAATTTAGATAAGAAGTCTTTATTGAAGAAAGTAAAACTAGCGTTGTAAAGACTCCGTTTTCGTTGTAGAAGCTGCTTAACGGCGTGTTCCGTCCTCGAAGAAGACTCCTCCGTCGATGGCGCAGTACTTGGGGCAGATACCCTTCTCTCCGGCTCCTCCTGGTGGTCCAGCTGGTCCTGGGGCTCCTGGGTTTCCATCGGATCCTGGTTGTCCTGGTTGTCCGTTTGGTCCCTTTGGTCCTGGGGCTCCTGGAGCTCCGTCTTGTCCTGGGGCTCCTGGCTGTCCTGGTGGTCCTTGTGGTCCTGGGGCTCCAGCTGGTCCTGGCTCTCCTGGTTGGATTGGCTCGGATGGAGCGTCTTGTCCTGGTTGTCCTGGGGCTCCTGGAGCTCCTGGGTTTCCTGATGGTCCTGGGGCTCCCTTTGGTCCTGGGGCTCCTGGGGCAGCGTCTTGTCCTGGTTGTCCTGGGGCTCCTGGGAGTCCAGCATCTCCTGGTTGTCCTGGTGGTCCTGGTGGTCCTGGTGGTCCAGCTGGGCATGGCTTGCATGGTGGTGGAGTGATTGGGTCACATGGTTGCTGAGGTGGACGTCCTGGGTTTCCTGGGAGTCCTGGAGCTCCTGGCTTTCCTGGTCTTCCTGGCTTTCCTGGGGTTCCAGCTGGTCCAGCTGGTCCTGGAAGACAGCAAGCATCACATCCTCCAGAAGCAGATCCTCCGGTGACGGCAACATCTTCAGATCCGTATCCAGCTTGACGAGCAGTTCTGTTTCCAGTTGGGAGATTCTTGAGGTGGTTGACCTCGGACCAGATATCCTTAGCGGATCCCTAAAGAAAAGAATCAACAACTGTTCATGATTGCAAAACACACCTTGCAGAAGTTGATCTCGTTGTGCATGGATCTCTTGACATGGTGGACATAGTTGTAAACCATTGGAAGAGTGACGCAGACAGAGAGGACTGCGACAACAGAGAAGGTGACTGCCGAATAGGCGACAAAGCGGTAAGCCTTAATGCGATGTTCCAAATCCATCTTTGGAGCTTCTGCCTATTCCAACACACCGAATGTCTTATATACTCGCTCTACCATCCTTAAGGACCGCCTTTTCAAACTTATGGCATCGCTGTCAGTGTGTCCTTTCCGTCAATGTCGTTCAATGAATCTCTCATTTGCGCATGATCTCTCCTTTCTGAGAAACTGGCTGTGTACTTTCTCCCTTCAGGCGATTTTCTGATCAACATCATTTTCCATTTCGTGTCTGAAAAAAATGATCGTTTCCCTAAACTTTTCAATTATTACAGTCGGTAGTAGGAAGAAGGGTAATAGATTGAAAAGTCTATTGGCACTTTGCAGAACCGTTTTCCGCGAAAGGAATTTACGTATCGAAAAAAGATACATTTCCAATCTTTGATTCACTTTTCCGAAGTGTTCCATTCTCAATGGCATCGCAAACCTATCGCCTTCTACAGAAAATGTAAAATCCATCTACCATCATTGGATTTCAGAATAATGTTTCATTTTATCTTTTTTCTTCCATTTGCATGATAAACAGCACTTTTTTTTCAATTTTTTTAAAATGGGCAATCCCAGCTTCATCTTGCAAATGCATGTTTCAAGCAAGTTTTTTGCTTCCAATCCATTGAAAACTAATAACATTCGAACTTACGTGATTGTTTCCATCAAATCTTTCTTTGACTCCTCTCTTCCATTACTTTCGAATAAAAAAACTTCCGTGTCCTTGTCGGACTGAACGAGAAAAAAAAGGTTTCATATAAGAGGTTTTTGTACTTCGTTTATCTCTTTCTCTCACCCGGTACCTTACGTCTCTAGTGAATTTTGATCAGAATGATGACCTTGCTATGAAACTTCGTCTTACCCATTTCTCAAATATTCCAGCTTTGTTTTAATGCCATCCACCTTTAGACATCACGTAAATGATCTGAAAATATGCTTTAACAATGACCTTCTATGTACTATGATGTATCAATATGAATAAACAAGATTTCATCTCGATAGTTATCTTCTTCATCATTTTGCATTCTATTTCATCATATTCAAATTCAATAGTTAACAATTACAATTAATAAATTGATTAAGATTATGAAAGAGATCACAAAGTAAGTCACATCAAATGTAAGCCATGCTTTCTATTTTAATACATTTACAATTTTGTTCTCCTCCAAGTAGTATCACTAGAGCAAGAAAGGTGCATGCAAGAGACACAATCAGTAGATATTCTTAATATACAAAAATTTGCTTAAAGCTAAAGCTGTCAAACTAAATTAGTTCCTAATTTAAATATAAAAAGTGTTTTAGCTTGTCTTGGATATTAAGCGTGGTTGTCGCATGCTTCGTCTTTGACTTCGACGCTCTTCCAACCGACGTTCAACATAACAAATATCATAAAGTATTGCTTCTTCCATTCCTTCTAGAAGTTCTTCTTTTTTTGTCATACTGGATGTCTCTCGGATAGTCTGAACTTCTGCACGAACACGTTGCAATAATTCCAGAATCACCTGTAAATAAAAATAGGCTTTCAATGAACACAATGGGAAACTTACAGATTCAGGAGCTGTCAAGTGGCCTGTTGCTGTACATACCACTGGCATCTCAAAAGCAGACGGTGGCTAAAACAGCAGGAATGAGAAAACAAAACATGAATGGAATCTACATCGGCCAAAACATTATCAGCATTTTGCAACCATTCCTCCACTTTTTTGTTAGGAGTCATCTGGGGCTGTCGATTGAGATTAAAGCGAGGTTGTTTAGCTCTTCGCGAACGAGTCAAAAAACCTCTGATGGAAGATTGACAAATCTGAATAAGAAAATATTAAATAACGAAAAGATTGAAATATAATCAACTACTTTGCGAAATTCTTCTTCATCAACTAGTCGAGGTCTAGGAGGTTTACGATTCTTGTTTGTTCGATGAGGGATTGAATAAATATCCTAAATAGACGAAATAAATAGATCAACAAAAAAAACAAGGAATACCTCATTTGGCAAAGCATGATTGTCTCTGGCTAGTAAGGTAGAAGATCTTATACGAGATGTGCGTGCTCCCATATCTGAGAAGACTCAAACTAACTCAAGACTGATGACTGAATATGAGATCACTGTCAATGACTCTCAATTAACAGCGATAATGTGAGAAAATAATATAAGAACATTGAATAGTATATCTTAAGGTTATAATATTATGAAAAGTATTATAAATTTGTGAACAAATGTCAATCACTTATTATATATGTTTATTTATAAATTGATGATGAGAGAAACAACACACATATGTTTCTCAACCGGAAATGATTGGGTCGATATTTCCAAAAATATATAGTTTGTACTCTGTGATCATAGCCTTATATCTAAGAACAGTTTTTTCGGAGTATAAGGTTCAGACTTGACAGAGATATGAGAGAAATGGAAATCATAAAGATGACATGCTAATCAAACACTTTCACGTTTTTCACGGGATTGAGCTCGAAGTTTAAGCTCATTTAATAATCGGCTCTGACAGTGAACGGTTGACTATCTATCTCATACAACTGAAATACATATGAATATGCGTTTGAATGTTACTCTTTTGTAATTTAAGCAGAAGCGCTACTCTCGGACAAAACCAAAGATAATTCATCTCAAAGTGGTTGTCAGGTCAAATAATCTTTTTGACTTAATATCTTTTGTCTTTCTTCCTTCTTTATCATTTTGACTCTGAAAATGATATCTATGAATATCCCTTTGTTATCTTTCATTTTCATTCTGACCGCCCTTTTTCATTTGGGTCATTCGTTTGTTGAAGAACTAATTTCAAGAAAAATCTATTGCTGAACTAATCTAAAAGCTTCTTCGTATTAACAAAAAATGCATTTATATGTTTCCAGTTATGAATACATTGTCGAGAGCTCTAGTCTTCGTTGTTTTGCCGATTGTTTTTTCGGTCGAATTGCCGGATGGTTTGAAGCCGGCAGTCGACATAGAATCTCATAGCTTACAGGTTTAGAAATAAAATTGTGTTTTTTTTTAAAATTTCAATAATGTGTTTGAAGCCAGCACCATTAACTGTGACTCCTCCTAATTTGCGTGTTCGATCACGGATGATGGCAGCTTTGAACGGAGTAAGATAATTTGAGATTAAGTTTTATAATTCGCTTCATTTGTGCTCAATGGTAGGATTTAAGATAATTAATAATTTCAGGAAGAATCGTCGAAATCCACATTGATTTTAACGAAGAAAAATAAGAAAAAGGAAAACAAAGTTTGCTGAAATTTTTAACTGTTCGTCATAAAGTCAATTATAGAAAGAACCTAAAGTTTTCTATGGAGAAGTTACAACAGCTCCAACAGCATCAGATAAATCCATGGAGAAGGTATGCAACTTGTCGACAAACTTTCTCTCATAACATGTTTCGATCTAACTGCCTCTATAGCAAAGATGGTAGGAGAGCTTCCTATCGCATCTTTTCTTAATTCGATTATAGAATTTGAATAAATGCATATAAAAGAGTTTTTTTTTCAGGTTGTTCCACCTTCAGCCAACTTTGCTGTCAACCCAGTTCTTCAGACAAATTTTGTCGATTCAACCGGTCGCGTGCTTAAGAACGTCATAGCCGTTCCGATTAGAGTTGGTGATGGAACTCGACGAACAAATGCGTAAGTTTGAATTACATTTAATTGAACATTAAAATAGAAAAAATTGTTATAAAATCATATAAATTACATTTGCATTAGAACAATTGAGCACATCGTTTAGTAGCTTTTCCCTGATACATTGACCTTATGTTAGAACAAGCAAATCTGAATGTTCCCCTATAAAGTAAAAAACGATTTAACAAAAAAAGGCCGTCAGAAAGAGCTCTTATCATTTGAATAGAAAGTTTAGAAAGTACATATTGAAATAAAAAAATGAGAAAGCCAGGAGAGAAGTAAAAAAAAAATTATAAAATAAATTCCTAAACTTTGAATTCAGGACCCGAACTGCAGCAGCTGCTGCTGTAGTGGAACCGGATGAAGAAGATAAAAAGGTGGAGGTACATTTCGGACAGGCACCTATTCATTTATGAGAAGAAGAACTGTCTGTAGATGATCAACAATAATAATAATCAACAACATATAAATATAATAAATATAACAAAGTGTTTTTTTGGTTTTGATTTCAAGTTCATTAATGGAATCATCGAGAAGTTGATGCTGCTGCTCCTGCTGGCGATATTAGCTTTCATTCATTTTCATGATAAATTTCCAAAAATTAAATTTGAGCTATCTTCATCGAATGTTGAAATATTGAATGTTCGATATAGGTGCATATTCTCCATGCCTTCTTTGGCACACATCTTAAATCAAAGTATTCATTGTTGAAATTTGCATAATATATACAAATGCTTACCTGAATTCCTCCACTGATCATAAACAAAGAATTCATTCTTTGTTCAAGATCAATAATACCCTTTGATAAATAGAATGCATGTAATCCATATAAGACTCGATTTCTTGTCTCCCATTGAAGCTCACGATCTTCTGCTGTTGATATGGGTTCAGAATCTGATTCATGTAATATCGTAGGCTCTTAAACACTTATGATTATTATATATTGTATTATAATAATTATAAGACTCACTTAAAAACATTAAAGTCTTTAAAGCTGCTATTTCTTCTGGAGAGGGAGATAACAAGCGAAGCGGACAAACAACTTCTTCCATCAATAACGATGTAAATGGAATTAAAATTCTATTAATAAAAATTATTATAAAACCATGAATATATAGTAAATGGCATACTTATGATCAGTTAAATGCTTCCTTGTCAGACCACATTTTAGAAAGTCTGGAATATCGTCTAAGCTAGCGACTAGACAACTACCATCTAACAGTAGAAAGACATTTTGAAATTCACATGGTGATCTTAATGTATAAAGTGAATGTTCAATAATGCTATGCATTAAGCAAAACCGGTGTACAAGATATCTCTGAATATTAATTTAATTTTCTATACTATGCCATATTGGTTTACCTTTGTGGAAGGGGTTAGAGTAGGAAACGAGGGCACACGATCACACCATCTCCGAAGCCTTTTCAAATCCATTTTAAGAGTCACAACGAGATCATCGTTTAACAGAATGCTACTACTTCTCTGAAAGTATTTTTGTAAGTTGAGATACTATCGATGTATACTTAGAGGAATAGCAACCGCTTTCCGTGAATTTTATTTTGAAAGTGAGCTTTTCACGTGTGTTTTTCAGCACGTGAAAAGATCCATGTCGTCATCGTTAAAAGAGAAACATAAAACGTCTTATCAGAGACTTATCTTTTGAAGCAAAACAAATGATAACTGGGCAACTTCAATAACTTACAATACTATAAAAGTCATCAGGTGAATCAGGAGATATGTGAAGCTGTTCTGCAACTTCTCGCCTTAAGCTACAATCAATTTCTCTGAGTTGGATAAGGAATGCCATAGCGTTCTCGGATGATTCGGACAGTTTGCGTTGTATCTTCTTCTGCTCAAAAGATGGTGGACCACCAGATGATCGACTTGAGGTAGATGGTTCACGACTATCTTCCCAATCCACATCATCGTGTACAACGTTGCGTCGTCCTATCAGATCGCGTGAAGGATGCAAAGCTGAAATATATTTTATTTCATTTTAATCTGTTTTCATTATTTTATCAAAGAATTGATAATAAGTGGAAAGACAGTTGAATACCTTCGGCTTTCATTCCAATTTCTTTACATTTTTCATAGCGACATGATCGACAAATTCGTCTAATTTTTGGCCCTGCAAAGATCATCAATGACCTTACATTCGATACTTGGAAGCTCATCAGCGTTTGCAAGATAATCTTCTTGATTCTCACCTTTTCGTAGAACACACTTTCCATCATGTTTACAGCGAGGTGTTGTGGACTTTAATACAACCTGAATAAGGATGCTCATAACGATACAGGATCATAGTAAGGACAATATGGATATAAACACTTACCCGTCGAAAGAACGTCTTACAACCAAGACATGCTATGACCCCATAGTGATTACCCGTATTCGTTGCCCTTCCACAAATCAGACAAACAGTTGGTTGATCATTTATAGTATTTCCAGATGACGAAGCCGTTGACGATGTCGACGACGACGACGTCACAACGACGTCGTTTTCCGGATTTGTTCGCTTCTCCACCAATTCCGTTGATGTCGATCCGGCTGCAAGCAACCACATCAGAGGCCTTCTCTCTGCATAAGAACAAGGCTGATGCAGGTTGTCTTGCTTCTGAATTAAATAAAAAAATTGTACAAGGACAAGTCAAATTTGAAAGAGCGAATTGAGAAAAAATAAGTTTATAAGAACAAGAAGATTAACGGCAGACTAAGGAAAGATTATGTTGGCTATCACGATGGATATAGTTAAGAATAATTTTTTCATTCCCTCCCCTCGCAAATCCGACTAAATAGGAAAAAATGGTAATTAACGTCTGGAGATCGTTATACGAGTATTCAAAATACAGTTGGAAAATATAGAAAGTAATAAAAAAATAAATAATGTATAAGAGAATATGTAAAGACGGAGTGAGAGAGAGTGAGAGATGATGCAAGCTTCCAAAAAGAAAAAAGAATTAACGGAAAGACGAATCCGATTTGATAGGATTCATTTTAGAAATTCTGAACACTAGTAATGCTGCACTTTCATTTAATCATTGATGAAATGAATTTTAATAATTTTTGTTTCGAAATCATACCGTATTACGTACTGTTTAGGAAATGAATAGTATGATGGATGGAAGGAAAGGGAGGAGACTAAAGGATATATGCTCCTGAAAGTTTAGAAGAAGAATGTCATATTTAGAAACATAAAAAGCGCTGCGATAACAATGCAAATGAAGCTAATAAGGGGCAAAGCAGGAGTAGGCGAACATCAGACGTAGGCAATTGAGCAGCGAATAAAAGATTTTTGTCTGGTTTTCAATAATCTTTCGTCTCGTTCCATTCAGTAAGCTGGCCGTTATTAAAAAATTAAATAAAAATCATAATTGAAAGATTTGTTCTGGTTTTATTTAAAGATGTGAAAGTTTCTAAATTCATTCTTTGCTATATGATATATGTTAATTTCTCATTTGGAGACCTCCAATTTACTTTTTTTCTCATTAAACCTTACAGTATTTCATTAGAGAACAAAAGAATTCATCTGTCTTTCAATCAAATACATCAATTCACAGTACAGTATTCCTCATTTCATGTAAAGAAATTTTTAAAAAAAACTTTTCTCCTTCCGCATACGATCCATTTGGTTTCTTAAACAGTCAAAACGGTTCACGTGAATATTCACGTATACACTGACTGATTGTCATTTTGAGATTTGCAGAAACGTTGAGCGGTTGCTTTTTCTTCTATCTCTCTCTCTCTCTCTTTCTCTTTCTCATCCTTTTCTTTTCATTTTTTGTGTGAAACCCTTCGGAATGCATTCAAGTTTTTAACTTTTTAGTCAAAATGAGTTAATGAGAACATGGAAACGTTTCAAGTTCCAGTTCAAATGACTTATACGCTCTGTTATCATTGATTTCTTATCTCTCATCCTCCGTTTTTTGAATAAAAAATTGGTGTGATATATAGGAATCAGGGATGTTGTCTATTCAAATGAGATGAAATGAATGCTTAAATAAGACCAAATATAGAAGATCAAATGTATGTAATAGCTTAAGAAAGGACAAATTAAGGTCTTGCGATAGGATAATTAATACTTTAAAATGATGGATGAAGCTAATCTTCTGGAATAAAAAATGAAACTCATGAATTCATTAGAGAAAGAGTTGAGTTGGCAACAGCAAAATAGAGAATAAGAATGAAAAAAAGAGAAATAAAAAAGAAAAAAATGGTTTAATCATATCTTCTATTGTTATTGAAAATATTTAGAAGTGAAGGTGAATCTATGCGATAGGTTTTGCTCTCTTATCGTTAGACGCAAAGTCTTTTGCCAAAAATGTTTGAAAATAGTATTGAAACATATGAAATGATGTTGGAGAGGAAAAAGAAAGGTTTGAAAGCTTTGAATGATAACCCAGTGAAAGAAGAATATGAAAATAAGATAGATAGTAGTAGTCTCATACAAATCTTTTTACATAAAAATAGGAGAACATTATTTATCAAATATAAATGAGGTGTATTTATCTTCTAAACCATATTATGTAAATCGTTAGATGATGTAAATGTTTAATCAGAAAAAAATAACAAAGTTTACGATTATCCAGCTGGGATAAGAGTATTAATTGAGGGAGGAACCGATTATGAAGACGCAATTTGATCTAGATTTTCAAATCCTATAGATTACTCTGTAGAAGCAGATTTGATCTGGGTTTTGCTCAAAATTCCAGCTCAAATCTTTTCTGAGCTTAAAAATATAGGAAAAATATAAGTTTTAAAATCAATTTGCGAAATTGATTCAAAAAGCTATTGAAGGAGACAAAGAGCAAGCGTGTCTGTGTGTCAGAATGAGTATAAATGATAATTGATTCTGAATATAGCACGTGGAGACGTGAACAAATTATAATATAAATTAATAGATAGAATATAATAGGTGTATATAAAAAGTATACAAAAGGTTTATAAATTGAATGATGATGATAATATGAAAAGATAAATCCAGAAAAAAGATGATAGATGATGAAGAAGTTTCTAATTCGTCGTCTCATCAATTCTCTTTTTGTTTCTTCATTAAATAGACGTTTAGACAATTCAGAACAATTATAAAAAACAGTTCAATTAAGGAAAGACTTGGTGATGATCTAGAAAACATGTGAAGATCACGTGATTTATCAATCTTATATGAGAAGAAGCGTGTCTGATGATAAATATCAAAACGTGTATAGAGAAGGTGTGTAGGAAGCTTCAATAGGGCAATAAGAGATAAGACTTTGAACAACAATTATATATTTTCTCGATAAATTGATTTGAAACAGTTTATAAGAGAGATTATCGATGGCATTATTTGAATCTTTTTTTTCAAGAACGATGGTTTTTATAATTTTTTTCTTCTCTCTCTCTCTCTCTCTCTCTCTCTCTCTCTCTCTCTGTCTCTCTTTCTCTTTCTCTCTCTCTTCGATTATCAAAAAAAGAAAGAAGAAGAGACGATTCGAAAGGACATACGAATATTAACAGAATTATTAATAATATTCTCATTTAAAATATATTTTTGATTAACTAATCATGATCACAATAGTTTTCGAATTCAACAAACTCATTTAAGCCTCGATCTTTTCATTAGATTCTCCTAAAATGATAATCTTTTGAGCTTAGACGTGATTGTCATCAAATCATGTGCGTGGACCGTCAGAATTCGGTAAACGATGTGAATCGATGCTAAGACTGGCCGGATTGGCGAAGGGCAGTGCATGGCCGTTGTCGATGACTGTGATAACGACGACGACGATGACGCCAACGAAAACGCAGACGATGTGCGCAACAGGAGCGAACGACTACAGAAGAACGGGCGGTGCCCAACGAACAGAGAAAGACTAAAAAAGGAAAAAACCTGAAGAAACAGATAGATGAGCGTAACTGATAGGAAACGAAAAGTTGACGACGATTATTTGGATTAATCGTAGATCCTGTGAAGATTGAACTCAAAGTAAGTCGAGAACAAGGGGAGGAGAGCAACAGCTGGATCTCGATAATCTAATTGTGGTCGTCAGAAGAGAGCAAGAATAATTGTTTGATATTCTTGATGCATCTTTTCGAATGGTATGTCGTCTTCGCAACAGAACAACTGTGCTGTCCTAGGTGAACGAAAGACGAGCTTAAGTTTTCAGAGGGTTTAATGAGAATAATACGAATGAGACAATAAAAGGCAAAAAAGTAAATGATTCGCATTGCTTCTCGAGATCTTGAGTGACGTGAGATCAGTAGAAGCCAAGTTGTATCTTTTGTGAGATTCGAAGTCTAAGCTGGGGGAGACGTCAGTGAAAACGAACGGGTCAAAGCATTAGAAAATAGATGAGTAGAATTGGTGAGGGATTGAAGGAAAAAGCGAAAAAATAGAAAGAAAAAAAAGAAATGACAAAATGAGAGAATGAAATATAAGAAGAGTGCGGAAAAGAAAAGAAGGGGAGAATAGACGACGAGGGTTCGAACGAGAAAGTGCACATCACACGGGCTCGAAAGAATGCTACGAATGGAAAGAAAAGAGTAAGAAAAGGAGTTTCTTTCAAAAAATTAAAGATTAACTACCCGAGATTGCAAAAGTATTCTGATGTTCGGCAGAGAGACGAGGATTTATTGAGAACAAGAGAAAGAGAAATGAAGTTGTGAGAGGTAAGATCGGCTATTGACTAGCAGGAAGAACTTGGTGATGAAAGGTTCGTCTTTTTTTTTTTAGAGAGAACGTCTAAATAGTCCAGTCAGCGCAACAATTTTAGGGCGAAGTAGCGATATGATAATAAGGAACTTTATGAAAAACATTGATAACCCTACATGAAATCATTAGAGAAGAAAAGGAAATATTCTGGAACACACAAGACTGTTTCAATAATTGCGAAGAAGATGAGATATGTTCAATTGAAGAACTAACAATAATCTTAGTTGTTTCATTTTGTTTGAACGTCATTGATGACCAATTTTATGAGGAACGAGATACAAGATTAGTAGACGTTGACGAACGGAGTCGAGAACCCACCGTGTGGGCCTGGGGCTGGTCCTGGGGCCCAGGGCTGTTGCGGGACGAGACACAGAGATGATGACAGAGTGCACAGCTGGATGGAGAGCGACGACGGGAGATATGGAGACAGAAGACAAAAAGTACAAGCCAATAGGAAAGTACATAATAGAAAATGTAGAAAGAGAATAATGAGATGAAAGAGAGACAGAAAAGAAAAAAAAGATAGAAGGTGGGTAATAGCAGGAGAAAAAGAGAGGCGATCGCAAAAAAAATGGTAGAAGCAAGAACAACTATGTCTTTTCCGATCAACTTAATGCTACTTCTTCGCCCTCAACCTCCAAATTCGAGATTTCTTCTCCATTTTCTCTCTTTAGCGAACCTTTCATATAACCGTACCCTGTGTCCCCCCCAAAAAATGTATATCTCTCTCTTTCTTTTTGTCTCTCTCCCTCTCTACCTTTTTCTCGGCCTCTCTCTTTCCCTCTACCTTTCTCTCTTTTTCTTGTTTCTTTCTCTATGCACTGTGTGCTTTAATTCATATGTGGAAACGCTCTTCGTCTCTATCTCTTCTAACATATGATAGAAAACGAAAACAGAAGGAACGAGAATAGAAAGAGCCCGCAGAACACAGACAGATTTTCAAGCGTTCTTTTCTATTACTCTCTTCTAATTTCTCATTTTTGAGAAAAAAAAAACATTTCACCATCTTACCTAGCAAGTTTCTGGTTTTTTCAATATCTTTCGAGTTATTTTTTCTTTCACGTTTCCAGAATAAAAAACGAAGAAGAAAAACATGAAAAGTGAAGAAAGTTCAAAATAATTTATTAGATTAGAGTCTAGAGAGAGCTTACAAACCAGTCCGAACACATAAAAAACGGTTCTGAATATGAGACGAAAATATAATAAATGAATTAAGCGGAAGGAAACGAGGAAAAAGGCCGCAAGAGGCAAGATGAAGTAGTATATTGCTATCAACCTCTTGTCTTCAACTTATGCCGAGATGGAGGGAGCTGACTACTTCTTCTGTTGCCAGTCGAACTACATCGGTTGGTCAGAGACAGAGAATTTGAAAGAGACGGAGTTGTACTTACAGCGTGCACGATTAGAACACATGCGAATGAAGCCTGAATGCATGTGGTTCTTTCTTTCTATCTTTTTCCCTCCCATCTATTCCTGCTCTCTTCTCTATATCTTTTCTTCAACTTCTTCTTTTTTTCTTGATTCTCATCAATATTTCACAAAACCTTTATGAATAGTTTTTCGTCTTTGCTGATTATACCTCTCCCTCCCAACCTATCATGATAGATCAAGGAAAGTACAGACGATCATTAAAGATTGATTAACACTCAACGGAACATTTTATGTCATTTCATCCTTTTTTTCTTTTTTTATCCAACTAATCTGCTTACTCAATTCTTTACAAACATTCCCATATTTTTCATGTAATTCTTTCAATTACGTCGAATCTTTCAAAAACATTTCGAACCCCCTCCTCATATTCTAGTCTCCATGAATACAATCTCCTTTTGCACAAAACTCAGAGAAATGAATGTAATTTTAGAATATTTCATCAAATATTTCATACTTCCTATTGTAATGGGTCAATCAATCTTTACCACTTTGTTTGAGCAAATCCTTCCTTTTCTTTTAACTTTAAAATAATTTAAAACTGCGCCCACCCGAACGCTGCACTCCTTCATTTTAATGACCTTTTATGGCAACTTGGTACTAACACTCACTATCTTCAATCCAAAGCAAACGAAAACAGGTTGAAAGATTTATCATCTCAATTGACCTGAAATTCAGGGAAATGTATAATAGACTTCAAAAAAGTTGAAAAAAAAAGAAGAAGAAACATAATTATGTTGATGTTATCATAAAAAATCCAATACCATATCAGGGGGACTATAATCATTACTATTCTATAAGGAAATAGAATAGGAAATTATGGAGCTTTAGCGAACTTCAAATGTAATATTTAACCAATATTTTAGAAAGAAAGTAAAGAGAGAGCATATGAGAGAGAGGGAAGGAAAGAGAGAAAAGAGAGATAGAGAGGAAGAGAGAGCAAGAGAGAGAGAGAAAGAGCTAATAAGAGAAAGGGAAAGGGAGCTTTGTGAGAGACCTGTTTTTGTCGGGGCCAAATACTACTTGTACTTTCAAATGTTGCCTCATCTCCTACGATCATGCCAGACAGTTAAAAAGGCTTGAATTGATTTTCGCAATAAAAGTAAAGAATAGTAAATGTTAAATATTAGATTCATATGAAAAGACATAGAGAGCTCCAAAAAATGTTGAAAAAAAAAAGGAAAAAAGAAATATGAGACTTCATAAAATTCTCATATAACCATTCGTAATAGCTATAACACCAATAGTATAATTCTAACACACTAAATGAGTCAATGGCATTTGAGTACAAGCAAAGTACATTATCTCTACAAAGATAGCACAAGTGGGAGAAGTGAGAAATGTTTTTTTGCTCATTAATCTCTATTAAGCAAAAAATAATTCATCATTACTATACAGTTAATCAAGTGGAACATGCTTCATACAAGAAAATTCCGTCAAAACAATTAATTTAAGGTCGGCAAGAGAGTCAAAAGAAGAAAAAAGAAAACAAGATGAGTAATGATTATTAATTAGAAAATAAGAAACAAAAAAAAGCAACCGCTATCACGTACGCATTAATATGAAAATGAAAGACGCGCTAATACTTACGTAAAGCTATCTACGTGACGTGTCAGCATATGCAAATGAGAAGGAAGTGATGATATCATGCTAGCGAGTATTTTCCTAATTATTAAAATACTAGAGTGATTAGTATGAATGTTTCAACATATGTTATAAGATATATATCATAGCCTCCTTCATTTTTTTATTTATTTGTCCGAAGGACGATCAAAGTACAAAATATAATTTATATATAACACGATTACTCATTATATAAAAGAGACATAAATATAGCTTACACCACTGATATATATTATGATTTTGGTCTACTTCATTATAAGTTTAAATTTCCTTTTCCCAACTTTCCCCTCCAATTTCTATAATTAAATTGAATTATTAATTTATATGCGATGAAATTAACTTTAATTATTTCGAGTGCCATCTATGAATTGAATGAATACAAACGTACATGCACATGTCCAAAATGCATTTTTACCTTTTTTTTATAGACAAACTATTTATCTATGATTTATAGTTTGTTGCATGAAAACTGATAAAGAAAACCGTTCTTGACACTAGATTCGGAAACTAAATAACATTTCGAACAATATTTTCATGACCTTTCACCTGAGCAAATGATCAGTAACGATTTTGATAAAAAGTAAAACATCATTGGTTTTTAGGATTCTTGATTCTGATTTACTTTTCGGAAGTGATAACAGACTGTTTTGAGTGGAACTTAAACGTTGATGCGCCAGAATTCTGGCCTTCAAACAGGAACTTGTCGTCTTTTCCATCTAGTTCTCTTTCTTCTCCTTTAATCATTGTCTTTAGTTAGTCATTCCTTCTACAACCTCTATATAATAACTAAAAACTTTTAATTCTAATTCAATGCTAGCTATGCCAATGGTTTCTGTGATAATTGTTTTTGCTATCCAACTTATGCTGGCTATCGTACGTGAGTCCATATATGTCCATAGGATGTTGTTGAACTTATTTTTATTCAGCTATAATGAGTGTATCGATTGTTGATGTTTATGGTGATCGAAGAATTGAACTGACAGCTCCTTTCCCCAATATCAGCTTGTAGATAATCGTTCATATAATAAGTTTCATAATATTCTACAGCCTATTAAACATTATTGCGTCAATTTGTTGTTTTGAGACAGCACAAAAAAAAATTTTATTAAGGTTAACAACGCTTGCTTTATTTCAGTGACAAGATTGCGGGTAGGGCAAGAAGAGATATAAGCAAGATTAGTTATGAAAAGATGAGGTACTTGGGATTACTCTGCTTACTTCAAATGGAGTTATTGATTAAGCCGAGTGAATGTTAACATACATGGAGAGAAAAAAGAAAATATTTTAGGAAAAGTGAAGAGTGACACGTATTCTTCACATTGTGTAACTCTGGTGTAAAAACGGAAATTCTCAGACAATTACATAAAAGATTTGGTCGCAGGGATCTGCGAGAGTGCGCAAGTTTTTAATTAATCAAATGGATTCAACTTTGTCCAGAACATTCTACACCAGTCGAAAATCCAGTTATGTGACCAAAAATAGTATAATTATAATAACGAATGAACTTTTCCGCTTTATTTTTAGATTTGAGCAGGTTCTGCATTCTTAATCTGCTCAATCAGTTGTTGCTTTTCATCTTCAGGCAGGAAACAAGCATGGGCTGCATTTAGTTGCTGAAACGATAAGAAATCAAATCAGAGCATGCGACAGATTATGTCAGGAAAATAAAATAGATAATGAAGAGCTGAACCCGTCATTAATCGAAAGATTTTCAGCAGCTTAACACTGAGATGATTTAGTAACATACCGCCTTCCACAACTGATGGGTTGTCAGTCCTATACTCTCTTTAGCTAACTTAAGCTCACTGTTCATGGTATTTCCAAAGCATGTGGGATCGTCACGAGACAGTGAAAAGTTGACATCGTCAGCAGCCCAACTGAAAGGAATGATATGACTTTTCGAAATGTGAGATAATGATTTACGTGGCTACTGGGTGGTGCTTCCAGTCGAGTTCTACAGCTCCGGTCATGACTGAGGAATAAGGACAAGCTTCAAGATGAATTGATTTATCTTCTACGAATCTCTCCCGATAAAAATCAGGCTCACGCATAACTCTATAACCGTGCCCAATGCGTTCAGCATGCATATCAGTGAGAGCCTAGAATACTAGTCGATGAAAAAAGATTCGAACTTCAACCTACTCTTTTCATTTCTTTGGGTCCGCCACTCTCTCCAGCATGTACGGTACGGTGAATTCCTAACTTGTAGGCTTCCTATTAACAAATTTCCTTATAATCATAGATGTAAGAATATTACTTGGAAAATTGTAACAACATTTGGCTCATATTGTTCATCAGCACCATGAGCTGATCCCGCAACGTCAATACCAACCACTCCCAAATGTTTCAAATCGGAAGCTAAACAAAATAAATGTTAAAGAAAAGAAAAACGTCGTTTTTTACCGAGGGTTATAATTTGTTCAGTGAATGCATCAAGACCACGGATAGCACAAAGAATAGATCGCGCTTTGACGCCGAAGTCTTTCTCTCCTCTGTCAAATCCTTTCTTAACGGCTGCAATAACACCCGCTGCATCAAGCTACAAGAGTAGGTTGAAGATAGAAATGAAACATCATTTTACATCATCACCAGACAGAAGATGAGGAGCATATCTTCCTTCAAAATAGACAACGCCGTTGTTATGTTGATCTTCACACAACTCGTAAGCAATTCGTTCTACAACATGTGCGCAACCTCTTAACAGAATTTGTCATTCGTCGAAATGACGGCAGTCTCACCTGACTACAGGCAAGAAAATTTCAAACGGAGCTAATACAAGAGCCAAATCTGCGGGAGTGTGAGTAATTAGCATCTTCTTTACTTCATCAATAGTTGTTGCTACTTCACCCGTCTTGTCATTCTTGATAGGGATGCCACGAGATCTTAAAATAACTTGTATATGCAATATATTTGAGAACGATTACTTGGACACATCCAATAGAGTTTCAAAACGAACAGCTCCATCTAAATGTAAATGGAGTTCAACCTGAAAGTCATAACCAATAAGCGATAACGGCGTACAACCTGCCTTTGGAAAATCAAATTCTTTCAAATCTTCAAGAGAAACAGGAGGAACAGACACCATAGTCTCCGAACTGAAAAGAACAATGAGAAAAACTATAATAATGTTCACTGAATTGGGTTCATTAGCATACAGTCATAAAGTCATAGAATAGAAAATCATTTGCAAACAGTATGACGCATTGAGTGGTTGCATTATGAAAGCCATGCTGATATTAAAAAAAGATGACAGTTCGGTTTAGAATGGAATGTACTCAACCACATTTTGCAAATAACGAGGTAGTATCACGATCACTACGGAGACAATGAATGAGTGAAGATATGTTTGCATGATTATAAATAAGTGTTATACTATGCAAGATTAAAATTCGAAAGATAAGCTTAATCTTCACACTACTGGCGACAAAGATGGAAATTATGTATCATTTCGTTAGAATTTGCATAAAAAGATTTATGAATTCTACTATGAATTGGTCTACTCCTACTTTAACAACCGAAACTCATAAACTCTACGAGAAACTCATGACAGCTTACGCTATAGAAGTTGTAGAAGTATCCGGTGACGGTGTAGCTATCGTGAATCCTTCACAAAAATGGAAATTAGACTTTCGAAAGTGATAAGCGACTACTTCTTATGATGTTATAAGGTGGTTGTATCTTATCATTTAATTCGCCAAAAATTCGTATGTTGTCGAGATAAACGACAAGAAACCAAATTACATCTTAACACCTAGTATAACCATCAATAGAATGAAAGTCCAGTGATAAGAATCTTAAAAAAATTCTTCGAATAATTAGACAAACTGTAACCCAGTGTTCAGAACATGAAATGGGACATACTGAAACAAATCTTCCAAGCACATGACTTACAAAGAGCTTTTTACAAAAGATATGAAGTGATCAGCAGCACACACCATTTGTTCTATGCATCCAACCATTAGTTTCACAGCTGTTTTTCTCGCAGAATTAAAAAGTGTGAGTCGTGAGTCATTAACAATCACATACTCACTGATAAACAAAGTGTAGAACGCAACATGCTGGAAGAGCATTGAAAGTTCGTATTCAACATGTTTTCATCTCTCTTAAGCCTTTTGACAATACGCGCTGAGATGGTGCGCGAAACTTGGTATGTGAGAAACTATTAATTACTCTCTGCTTTCACAAAAACTTCAGACCCCCTGAAAAAACTATTTGAAGTACTCCGCCCGCGAACTGTTTCAACTAAGCGTAACGTATTCGGCAAAATAAAAAATGGAAATCTGCAAACGCGCGTGGGATGAGAGGATAGCATCACAAAACAAATAAAAACTGTGAGTATTTGAACTTATATTTCGAAAAATTGCTTAAACAAGAATGACATCAAAATATGATTCCGTGAACAGTACGATTGACCACAAGCTGTTTTATTTTTTCTCATTTTTACGGCGAGAGCGGTTGTATACTTAGATGTGGCAAGAGGCAGAAGCGAATATCCCTTTCATAAAATTCGAAAAAGACCAACCTTTCATGGATCATGTTCTTCTGCACATTCTCAATAATTTTTGGATCAGAATGAAGAGCCGATTCGACTGGAGATGAAAACAGATTACCCATATTTGAACTGTTTTGATCTGGAATAAAAAAGTTGAACACGAAGAGATGCTGGAAACAAGAGGCAAGGAGCAGGTGCTTACACTACCGAAGATAGTATCTTATCTGATACACGAAAATATGTGATGATTGTAAATAATGAGGAACAAAACATCGACTACTGAATGCAAAAGCAATACTTATAAGAGAGACTATCGATTTGGTGCAGCAGCATATTCTTTCAAACAACGAATTTTCCGTGACTGACCTGATGCTACTCGTGACCATCAGTCAATCTGGCAATTTTTGTAATGTGTGAAAAGGAATGGAAAAGAAAAATTTAAAATAGTCATAGAACTGCATCTTCCCACACTGGAGAACAACACCTCGAAGAGTACAGAAAGTGTAAAATATTATTGATACAGGAAAACACGGGCAGGTGAGAAAAAATTGATTTATATTTGAAGTTTGTAAAGAATGGAGCGCCAAACAAACAACGACATCGCTGAAACTATTTAAAGACTTGAATAAATTATCTAATGATCAATTGGGTCTAGAGCGCAATTGTAATTTGACCTTGTCTTATGAAGTTGCACATGAGAATGCTGACTAATCAAAATAATAACATATTGATTGGTATTGAATGAGAAACGAGTCAAGCTAAGGAACATGGTGTAACTAGCTGGCTTCCATCCAAACCACATGAGCAGATGGCTCACGCCTAGCGCGTCTATTGGGACGACCCGCAACGCAAATCTAACAGCCGGACTTCCCTCCTGTCCCGAACAATTATGAAAACACTCACCGGTTTATTTACCCACGAAAAAAAACAACTAACAAAAAAATTTTGTAAAATATGAAAACTTAAGGCAGTTCTCTACAGGAGCAAACATTTAAGACACATTTCAGAGCAATTGAGTTTTTATAAGTCGGCACTTAGTGAATGCTCTATGGGTATATTATACAGGAGATTCTAATGTGAGCAAAAATGGTGAGACATTCAGTTTTCTAAATCAAGTCGAGAGCGCTCTTTCGAGTTTAGCCAACGTCCGTCACAAGGTAGAAAACAGAATTGTCTCAAAACTGTTTACTAATACCGTCTTCTTACAACGATTCACGAAATCGTTGAGAGAATAGGAGAATTAGTAAACAATCTTAACCTCAGCAACCTGAAGCTTTCAACTCCTCTCCTTCTTTTTTAATCAAAGTCAGAGTAGTGAAGTTCTGAAAACAGTTGACTTAGTAAGAGATAACTTTGAAAATATTTACTTCAGCAATGGTAGGATGGATTCCTATGAGTCTATCGAAATCACGTTTTCTTCCTCCAAGTTTCAATGCTATAGCGAAGCCTTGGGTTACTTCACCGGCCGATGGAGTTAATATATGATATCCGACAACTCTATCCTGTATAAATGTTTAGATAAGTTAATGTTAACCGACATACTCTTTCATTTTTCACGCAGATCAGTTTGCAGTAGCAATGATCCTTATCCATCCGTTCGGGGATTGTATATTCGAGAGGATTGAAGACGGCATGATAAACAACTATATTATCCTTCCCATATTTATCATAAGATTCCTATAATTATAATAATATCCATTAGATTATGTAATGATGTTTGAACGTACTTCTTCTGATAATCCACAACAACCATATTCTAAAGGAGTGAAAACAGTTGTAGGAATTTGATCGTATTCGGTCTGCAATCATTGCAGTCACGAAAAGAGTCATGAGAAAAAACAAACAAGCTCGTCACTTCCTAGGTAAAGTCTTCTCATGAGAACGCGTCCAGCTTGGATCGCTACAGGAGTAAGCTCTGGAGTGTTCTCTAAAACGTCTCCAATAGCGTAAACATAAGGACATCCTAGAGACTGTTCTCTTCGACCTAGCACCTTAAGTTTAGATGGATTTACTCATTAAGAAAAACCGACATTACCTTTCCGTTACGACTCCTTGTGACGCCTAAGGTTTCCAACTTAACATCATCAATCGCAGCCTCTCTTCCAATAGCCATAACAACCTATGAAAACAAACAATAGAAAATGCTATTTTGTTCAGCTAACCGTATTATAGTCCTCGTGAGATTCGATCTCTTCACCTTCCTCATTCTTAGTGTTCCAATAAACTCTAAGTAACCCTGCTTCCTGTTTTGTTTTTGGAGTAATTTCTTCAATTTTCGAAGGGATTCCTCTGAACAGATTGAAATACCAAATCTTATAATTAGATATGCGTACCTTTCAAATCTAATCCCATATTCAACCATGTGAGCTTTAATTCGTTCAGCGATATCTTGATCGAATCCACGTAGTAGAATTGAGCGAACCATTACGGTGACATCAAATCCGATTCCTTTCAAGAAACCAGCACATTCGAGAGAAACGTAGGAAGCTCCAACACAAAGGGTTTTCCCCGGAGGATAAGATAGAGCGAAAAGATCATCACTTAATCAGAAGTCTGAGTAGTGCCATTGGATCGAACATACCTAGTTATGCAGTTTTCTTGTGCTCCAGGAATCTCTGGGAACCGGGGACGTAAACCAGTAGCTACCAGAAAACGATCAGCCGTCAACTTCTCAACTTTTCCTTTTTTGTTTGTAGCCGATATTTCGAATGGACCACTGAAGGAGCCATAAGCGTTGACATAGTTCACCTGAATTATTCAACAATAAACGAAAATTATTTGTAAGCACCATTTTCTCTCGAAGTTGAACACGGTAGCCCCAATTGAGAGATGAGATATGATCTTGAACACCGTCCTTCAGATTTTTCCAGCTGTGAGTTATTTGCCCTTCAGGAATCTGCCAACCGAACGCTCTTGCATCCTCTGAAAAACTAATGAAAACAAAACTACAAGTTGAACAAAGCTCACTGATCGAATGACCGAGGAGAGAAGCTTGGTGCATGAGTTTCTTTGGAATACATCCTACGTTCACACAAGTTCCTCCTAGACCCCACGTTGTTCCTTGAGGGGAAGGCTTCACAAAGTCAAGACATGCAACCTTTTTCCCTAATCTAGTAGGAAAAGAGTGAAAATTTCTTAAAATTGAGAAACCTCGAAGCTTCTTTTGCAGCAGCCAAACCGCCAGAACCTCCACCTATGACAATAAGATCATAATCATGTTTTTTCAACCATTCTGTCAATACTCCCGTTTCAGACAAAGCTCTCAGCTCGTTTAGACCTCCAACCACATCTCCCTATTTCAAGTTGATAAATAAAATAATAGAGTATGACATACTTTCACGAAAGCCAAAGGCCATTCATTTCTTAGTAATACTTCTTGGAGTCGTTTCCTTGTTTCTCGATCAACTTTGACACTGTTAACTTTTTTGATGATTGGAATCTCTTCTTTGATTTTTTTTTCGATCTAAACATATACTCATATTTTCTCATGGTTGAGATTTTATACCTCATCCTTATCTTCATCTTCATAAACAATGGCAATCTTCGATTGTCTAATTATATTCAAAGCTTCACTGGCTAGTCCTTCCTCGTACGCATCGTCTTCTGGTAAGGTCTCATCTATGACATCTTGTTCTGAAATTTAAGATGGTTAACTTTTCCTTTTACAAAAACAAACCATCAGCCTCTTCTCTGGAGTTCTCGACACCGGTAGAACCAGGTAAGATATCATTGAGATTAACAGCCATAGTCTCAATTTCAGGCATCTTGGGAGCAGTAGGCATTTGATTGAAATCAATTGTCATAGTGTCTGGCACTATAGAAACAGTTCCATTCGTATAATCATCTTTCGATAAACCGTTGAAGTCAATAGACATTGTCTCCATGGCAGGATCAGATGTTGGCAAACTGTTGAAGTCAATGGACATTGTCTCCATAGCTGGGTTAGCTTTTGGAAGATTGTTGAAGTCGATGGACATAGTCTCCATAGCGGGGTCAGCTGTTGGTAAACTGTTGAAGTCGATAGACATTGTCTCCGTAGCGGGGTTAGCTTTTGGAAGATTGTTGAAGTCGATGGACATTGTCTCCATAGTGGGATCTGATTTTGGAAGGTTGTTGAAGTCGATGGACATTGTCTCCATAGCGGGGTTAGCTGTTGGTAAATTGTTGAAGTCGATAGACATCGTCTCCATAGCTGGGTTAGCTTTTGGAAGATTGTTGAAGTCGATGGACATTGTCTCCATAGTGGGATCTGATTTTGGAAGGTTGTTTAAGTCGATAGCCATTGTCTCCTTAGCAGGATCAGCTTTTCGAATGTTATTGAAGTCAATGGACATCGTTTCCAACGGAGGATTTACTTTCGGTGAACTGTTGAAGTCAATGGGGATTGTTTCCAAACCGGGATCTGCTTTTGGAAGATTGTTGAAGTCGATAGCCATAGTCTCGAGTGAAAAATCAGAATTAGTTACAGTATTCAATCCAATTGACGAAGCTGCAGTATCACATGATGACATTTGGCTTATATCTGCAGACATAGTGGCGGAGATGGAAACTGCGCTGTTAACGCTTTGCGGTGATGGTACAGCGAAAGGATTCATTGTATCCAAAGAATCAACGGGCATATCTTTCGTATGTTTCACATTTCCCTCTTTCCGGGGCGCAGAACGTTTGGGTGGAGGCATAGAGAATGCCGTGACATTCGAACTTTGCCAGCTCAAAGGTGTTTGTGCTGAAATAAACGAAATTATGATTGAAAACAGAAATCTAATATTTTGAAAGAACGTGTGGGCTATTCTAACGTTTCGTTTCTTATTAAGTCACCAAATTAAATCAGTTCTCGACTTGAAAGAGATGAAAGTTACATCATTGTTCAAAGAACACATGAGAATTGACATAGGATATGAGGAAAGGATATATAATAGTAATGTGCTGGAAGAGTTAGTATTTGATGACGTAAATACTCTATTTGCTTGGCAGACTTTTCCTTAGTTAGTAATGAAAAAAAAAAGAGCACGGAGAACAACCGATCATTGACCTGCACATTTTAAAATGAATGTGCGCGCAGAAGTAACGGCATTCAAAATTCAAAATCAAGCTCTATCTCCATTACCTGTTTGGAAGGTTTTGGGTACAACAGTAGCCCAAATATCGCCCTTTGCAGAAGAATAATCATAGTTTGTTTGATTAGTGTTTGCGGTATTTAGAATTTCAACTCTAGTTTTTTTCTTATGAGTGAAGCATTTCTTAATACAGCCAAAACTATAACTCATAACAGGGAATACCTAGCGGTAGGAACATCGGAATGTTCTAAAGAGAACATGAAGGCGGAGCCGTCCATGAATAAAAAAATTGAAAAGCATGAAAGAGTATGCGAAAATAAAGAACTATTAGTTGAAACACTATATCAGAGGAGAAAACATTTGAAGTTTGCCAACATAATTTAAGAAATAATTTGGGATAGTTTAACCCAATAAATGTTCGAGAAAATTCAACTGAATGTTTTCATTTAGAGCGCATATAAATAAGAATTTTGTGAGCAATTGAGACACTATACATTTATCTGTGTATTCTCTGATGTAATCCTCATACATTATGACACATTCTCATTGATTTGGAAAACCGGAATCATTGAGACTTGTGCGATGACTCTTTTGCTGGGGCTACAAGATTCCAAGCCTTTCTAATGATATTTTCCTTCTTTGCTAGACCGAAATGCTTACGATTAGCTTCGCTACTAGCTTCCTTAAATAAATACATAATAAAGCAAATCATATGTTCAAACCTGTAATTGATGAAGTTTCAATCCAAAAACACCTGAAGTATATTTATGAGGGTACAGCGTTATTACCTCGTTGTTATACAACTTTTCGAGTGCTGAAAGAATATTTTATTGAATCACCATGAGCTAATTCAGATGTTTTGAAAAACAAACCGTGATAACGCCTCTCGCATAGCCCTGCCTCTGTTGGGGGAGACTTGAAAACAGTTTCTACTTGCTTAGATAGGAACATAGACAAATCTCTGAAATACATATCGCTCACAAACTCTTCTTAAGTTATTTCTTTCTTATCATTCTTCTTAAAGCGTAAACAATGATGTTACTCTATTATAATGTTTCAATCACCTTTCCGGAGTTTTAAACTGATCCTTCGGCCATTTTGCGATTAACCGCAAGTACTGCTTGTAGAGATGCCTCGACATCTAGAACCCGTTTATCTGCAATCATAATTAAGTAGCATTGAATCAATTGTTCGAAATGTACTGTTTGGATAAACCAACTCCCGATAACAATAAAGCAATTTGGTAAATGTAATAACAAAAACAATTCAAAACAACAACAACGAACAACAAAAAAAATCAACATTTCTCTTATACAGCTTCATCATCACTATCAACCTCCTCAATCACTATATTTCCCAGTTTCGCATCAGTTTCCAATAAGCCCAAATCCAAACTTATACTGTCTTTATTGATCTTGAACGAACTTTTGCAGAGCGAAAATATTGAAAGTTTACCTCTATCGATCCTATCTCATCTGATAAACATTTGATTTTTTCTTCCGTAATGGATTGCAACCATATACACAGATCAACAAGCAGTAGTTCATTGAACAAGTATCTGAACTCACTGGAACTATATAAAATTCCTATTACTGAGCAAAGAACATGAACCAGAGCTGTTTTTCCTAAACATTAGAAGGAAGTTATTGTGTGTTTTCCGAACTATTTTCACCATACCTTGCGAAAAAATATGCTTCACATCTTGCAAAACACGATATGAAAGATCGAAATTCCTGTATAATGGATAACATAAAGAACGTCTAATAGATCCAATAACAGCCTGAGGTTGAGATTAAATGAGAAGAAAAAGTAATTTTTCACCTCTTTCGAGTTATGCCAATACATCAAATAGGAAAGAGATGGAGCAAGTTTGCTAATGGTCCATCCGGACTCGCAAGACTCTTCCCAGTCATTGATTCTCTGATCATATGACCAAGCAAAAGCAATATCTATCAGACTCCGCAAAACAGCATTTTGCTCATTAGCATTTATTCTGAAAAAAACTATTAGTATCAATAAAATCTTTTCTACGTACTTAGGCAATTTTCTTTTTGGCAAATCTTTCAGACGCTCAAGATCTTTATCATTCAAGCTTAAGTCTGCTGCGAATTTCGATGAAATTATTTCAGTCAACTCTTCAGATGGTTCGAAAGTATCAGCTCTACAACAAAGTATGAAGATGTATCAGTAAAAGGATCACTCACAAATAATGCCCAGCCTCGAAATGCTCTCTGTCATATTCATACAATCTACTAGATCTTTGAATGAACGGCACGAATTCAGGTTCACCATCAAGTAAATTACCAATCGACTCTTTTAGTTTCTCTAAATTTTTTGATATGTTCTGCAAGCTATTTTTTCTATCGTTTGCCTAAAACTTCTGTGCGTCTCCATGCAAAGCCATATCCACATGGATTAGATTGCTCTTCTGCCAATTTTGTGGAAATTTCCTCAGGGTTTTGTTCCAAATAGTATTCATCTTCTTCATCAATGACTAAAGATACGAGTTACTATAAGAACTTTGGAAACAACACCTTCTTCATCACTTCCGATTTCTTCAACTAGCCTCTTTGCAGAGACTTTCGTCTCTTGTGGGCGTAACAATTGCGTGATCATATTGAGATCTGGGAAGTGTTCCCCTTTATTCAATTTTGGAACTTGTACGGTGAAAGTGCCAGAATCAGCATCATACTTGGCCGTTCCAGTCTCGTTGTAAATGACATGTCGCGGTAGATGGATTCTGAAAGACAAAAGGTTATTTATATACTCATATTAAGAAGATCACCTAAGGAAGTAAGGTTGGGAAGCAAACACAAATAAGTCTTCCGAGTACTCAATTTCTGTTTCCTTGATTTTTGCAAACGGTGCGCGAATGGTTATGATGAGATAATCATCCTCCTGTTCGATCGTGAAGGTAGGTGTGATCATGACTACAAAATTAAATTTCAAAAAAAAAACTGAATAAGCAATGCATAGAAAGGTCTTCTAAAACCTCATTTGATTCAGAAAGATAAAGTAGGAAAGAATATTTACTAAACACGATATGTGACTTAAACAATGATCTCCTTGCTCTACTTGCTTTCAGAAGAGCTAGTTCAGATTCATCAAATTACTTCGCTCTTTCGTTGGAACCTAAGCAAAATGGACTCTCCTATCGAGTCACTCTTTTTTCAACTCCTGATTGGTCAAAGTATGACCAATAGCTATCCAGTTTTTCCTTTTTTCAGTGAGGGTGTTAGTATCCAACTTCAAATTGGAAATTTCTTCTATGGAAGACTGGAAAAAATTAACAACGAAAATTAGAGCTTACATTCATCAGCGTGCGGCACAACTCTATCACATGCATTCCACAATCAGATGCATTCTCTTGCTGCGTCCCGTTTTTAATATCAATTGTGTACTGGAAACCTTTCCCATACATATGCTCAGCTATTCTTCTAGCAATCTGATGAATCGTAATAAATTGCGAATGGAGGAAAAAGTAAAACCTTAGGAACAAAATTGTGATAACGTCCATTCATACTGTCAAAGAAGTAAAAACATTTGGAATCGTCATGCCACATAAGAAGTGTCCAATGATGACCACCCAATATTTCATTAGGATCAGTATTATCGCTCACGATAACAAGAAGCTACAAAATGAAGTTCGAGACAATGGACTGAGCCTGTATTCACCGTCTTATTTATCAAGTCTTCAGGGTTTCCTAGAAAAATTGGAACTTCTTCAACTGAGCAATGCTTTAATGCTTCCGTAAAGCAAGGGTATACAATGTGCTAAGAGCATCTTTGTTATGGATAAATACTCATACTACCTTTTGTTCTCTATTTGGTTCTTCGCAAGCTGAAGTAATGTATTCTAATGCAAAAGAGATGGCGTTATCAGTTAACCATTGGCCTGGTTCAAACGATTTTAAATCTTGCTCATAAACATTGGTGTCTCCGATCGTAAACAAAACACCAACCATTTGAAACCTGAAACCAAAAACGTACATGAATAGTAAACAATAAAATATTGGAACTTTGAAACAGGTGAATGACAAAAAGAAAAACTTTTTGAAAAATTTATGAAAAATCATAGAATTAGGAAACGATCCAATCTGTCCCACAACTATCCTTCTCGGTATAATTCATGTTACAAATCCAGGGCTCATCCGTCTTTGAATACCTTAACAACCTACTTTCTTCACAATCGTATTCGAAAAACAAACTTGGCAATAGGATAATCGTAAGGTAATCGTATTCTATCTTGATCAGCTATAAGAACACCGAACTCATAAGAGCGAATTTGCATTTGCACACCTCCCCGCTGAAAAGTTCATTTTGCCAGATTATTGATCTTAACCAACTTGCAATTCGCCCCAGGCTGCTTTTGATAAGTTGGCGCTCGTGACTAGTAACCAACGAGGTTCTCCATTCACAAGCTCTGCATATGTCTATAAATCAGTATAAGTATTAGTACATCGAGGCATAAAAACCTTGCAATGCGGCATTGCTCGGCTACGGCTATTTGTTTCACTCCGCCATTTACAAAAATAGTCTTTCAACCATAACTGTTTTTCAGATGTTTGTCTTTGATAGGGCAGAGAACCACCAGCAGCGTACCCTTCGACAGAATTCCGCACATCGGTTACAGAGGGATAAATGAGAAAAAACTTCGGCGCTACACTGTCCTCTGAAAATATTTTTTCTATGAAAACCGATATCATTCTATGAACCTGATTCAATTCCACCTCTCATACTCTTCAACAGTTGAGGTTTTGTCCAGGCATCGAACGAAGGTCCCAAAGAACCAATGGAACTGCATTGTGCAAGAAATAAATGCGAGCCTTCCAGTTTATCGAGAGATACTCGAATTTGACTGAGATGTTTCCGCAAGGCTAACAACCCTAACTGAAAGAAAGCATTGAACGAACGAACATCCATTTCACGAACGTTATCCTTTTTCTCATCTTTGTGATAACCTGGTACAGAATAAATGATATGATCTTTGATAGATGAAAAGCATGCATGCTGAATACGCTGTATCCAATACTCCAGCTCTGGATTTTTATAGAACTCCAAGTAACTCATGAGTTCCTTCTGAAAATCACTGCTCTCTACCTCTCTGGATGAACACATGATTAGGAAGATCATATCTACGAAGCCTCACTCATTATTTATAGGACCATTCGCATAGTAAATGCATTGAGTTTTCAAATCCCAATCTCCTAAATCGAATCGAAATAATATGATAGGATCATCAAAGTACCTTCGATGAGATTAGCTGTTGAAATCAGCACATGAAGCTTAGATTCACATTCAAAAATTGATAACTTAGTATGATGAGTACCGAAAGGTATGGGTAATTTGGCTGCATGTACAGTAAAATTAGGTGAGTTTTTCAAAATCTGTAACCATATCTATTAGAGAAAAGATAAAACAGCTTGAACTTAATTGTGTCAGGGTTGATGCATCTGTACCCATTTTCTCACCGACCACCAACATTATCGGCGTGTCTCGGCACTGCTCCGGGTACTGGCTGAAATTAGAATATGACGGTTTAAATACTAACACGCGGATAATTTGATTAAAACTTCTCATTCTCTGCTATAATCAGATCATGAACGGTTGATATCAATATCTCTAAGAAGTAATACCTTAAAAGCCAATGAGGATCAATCATAAAATTGAAATGAATCGAGTTAGTCGGGGTTATTGTGTCTAGTATCTCACGCAAAGAGAACGCGAAATTGTTGAATTTATGCGAGAGTCCTTCGATCTGAAAAACCTTCTCAAGAGATAGTCATAGATGAACAGAGATGAACCTTAGTAAAATACATATTTCCACTAGTTAGTTCTTTTTGTACAGAAGTTTTGTTCCATCTTTTTTTCACCGGGGAGGCGCAAGCTTCATCCCCACGTGAACGAACCCGCTTCATCTAATACGGGTCATATCTCTCGAATATTGTTAATACGTTATCAGATATGTATAAGACTACAACATTTCTTAATAAGTTTAGGAAGAGTTAAATTATTCAACAAAAAATAACAAAATATCGGATTATCCGACCATATCACGCTTCCGTCCACGCTGTCGAATTTCTTCTAATTTTTTGTGTTGTAGTTCCCAATCGGACTTGATCGCATTTTTATAACCTTCCCAAATTCCATCGAGCAGATATTCACAGTTCCGATGGGTGCTAGCGATTGCTCGTTCTAATACATACAAATCAACACATTGGTCTTCTGATGACATCTGCAAAAGTTTCATTACAAAACTGAACATTACACGTTATGCTATACCTTTCCTTGAGAAGCTAAACCAAAATCTATTAAAACAGGATTCTCAATCGAGTTATTTTCCAGAATTATATTGGAGGTAGTTAAATCACCATGCACTAACCCTCCTTCATGCAAAACACCTATGGCTGAGCCAATAGAAACGCCTAACAACTTCAAAGATTTCTTAAAATCAAAACACCTCATAAGTCTTCGAATAGATAAACAACCTCAAAATTAGGCGATGTTCTATTAGATTCAATCCATTCCTTTGCCGTTACACCTGGTATTTTGGACATAATGAACTTATTCTTGGAAGAATCAACGAAATAAACTGCAGGAGTTCGAACACCTAACTATATATTGAAATAGATGTGATAGCATTTTGGTCTATCACCTGCTTCGCTTTCATGATACATTTCAATTCTTGCTTCAGCCGAGAAGCATTCAGCTGATCATTGAGAGTTTTATGCCGGTAATTCTTGTCAAACCTATACAGAGAAATTGAATGACCGGAAGTATTTCAAAAACCTTTCTTTCAGAATGGCAGGCTTTCCTAGGAATGTACAATCATATACACGCGCTTCTGCTCCTTGCCTAATGTTAACTGAATCAATAGCATATTGAAAACTATCGTCGTAATGATCTTCGGACATTCCTAAAAAAAACATTTATTATTTCCAACAATGATGAACAAATAACAATAAAGAGACGAAATTATACAGAAAAATCATTCATAATCAGATTCACTACTTTCTGAAGGAGGAAAGTCGATAGGTTTATTCTTCTCTTCAAGGGCGTCCTGTTCTGCCCGTTCCAAAAACTTATTTTGCTTTTCGATCACCTCTTCCGATGATGTACAGCTAGCATACATATCCAATAGTTCCTTATTGAGTTCGATGAAATGTGGTCCCCAAGTGAAGGCGGTCATTAGTTTACTAGCAGCTTCTTCATAGCCCACTATATATAGTCCGGCTGCTAGCGCTTCAGCACAGGTAAGCTTGCAAGGTCGTCCATAATTCACAGAGTTAGCAGCTACCAAGTATGGCAAAAGACGATGCTCTGGAGCTCTAACCTTGTGTAAAGGAGTTCGTTCTACTTCATTCCAAGAACAATCCACTACCCCTAATCCATGCGCAGTAATGAAGTCCTTATCTTGAGGAGAAAGCGTAGCTGTTCCTGTCGGACTAAGCATCAACCCGGGAAAGCGAGCACCAAGACGAACTTCCTCTATCATACCAACCCGCATTAAACGACGTCCCGAGCATCTTTTAGGGTCACACTGATTGAAATCATACATAGCTAGCTTGCATGGAAATTCAAACTCCTCTGCTTCTTCGGAACCTGATTCATCAGAACATTCTTCTGAGCTAGATGAAGAAGACGCTCTCTCTTCGACATCTCTAGGTCGCCTGGGAGCCTGTCGTTTGTTCACTTTTGTATTTCGTCCTTTCGCCATAATAGAGTTCCAATCAACTTTTAAGACGCAACTGTGTTGACTCTTCTACTTCCAACCCTCTCAAGCTCAATGATACTGTAAATCATAAATTAAGTGGAACATTTAACATACTTATCAGTAAAGTATATGCATATAATACTACAAGTTCAGAGAAGAAAACTTTGAAAAAACTTCAAAGCATATCTTTAACAAAACAGGAAGCACATCGTATACAAATATCAGTACAGTAGCTGAAAGAATTGAAGGTCTGGTAAAAATAAGTCTTAGCACGATTGGCTCATATGACTGCAAAATATTCTCAAAGCGACTATTACTTGTAGATACACTTAGGCGGGATTTCTGCCCTGTTCGTCCATTCAAACGCTGTTTATTAATGTTGTTTGTGTTTGTATTTTCCGGTGGCTGTAATTTTTTCTGTATGTATTCTTATTCAGAAATAATACTAAAGCGAGTCCTTGTTTGGATACCCGTATATTTCTGTGGTTCTTAATAAGTACAGAACCTTGAAATATCCGGGTTTCCAACAGGATTTGCGCGTTGTTCTGTCTTGAGGTGAGTTTTTTCTTTTATTACAGTTTACAATAATGAGGAAGCTGGAAGAAGAATTCGTCACTTGTGTATCAATCGCTCGTCGTGATTTGGATACCCGTATATTTCGGTGGTTCTTAATGAGTACAGAACCATGAAATAATCGGGTTTCCAACAGATTGTGCGTTTGATATATCATCAAAAGTGACGTTTAATGGACTGCATTGATTGATCGTGAAAAATAAAGATTTCAAAAGCAAATTTTGTATTTGTTTCATTGTTCATTCACTCATATATCCTCTAAACAAAGGTGTTGTAATACTAAAAAATTTCAGAATGGAGATTCAACAACAGAATTTAAGTTCAGGTCAAAAGTACCCACTGTTCGGACTGGGAACATATAATATACAAGAGAATGTATGATACTGGGTTTTCGAAGTTCAGCAGATTGTTTAGATGACGGAAGCTGTGGACGCTGCTCTCCGTAGGGGATATCGATTGTTTGATACTGCCAAAGTATACAATAACGAGTCTCATTTGGGTGATGCTCTTGAAGTGAGTGCGCATAGCTTAGGGAGAATTTAGTTGCTCTAGGTCTCTTTACCAAAACATTCTTTGAATCGAGCTGATGTAGTTGTCCAAACGAAGGTTCTTCCTTACAATGATTCTGAAAGAGTGCGCAACGATGTTCTAGACTCATTGGCAAAATTGAAAACTGAGTTAGTTGATGCGCTTGAAAATTGGGATAATAAAAGCAATTTTAGCTATATAGATGTTGTCCTCATTCATTACCCAAAAAATAATGATTGTCAGAACGAAGATGCTGTAAACAGGGAGTGTAGAAAGGTCACATACACCGTTCTGCTACAGTTGAAAGGTTAGGTCATCGTAGCTTCGAATTCATAGTTTTTTAGCTGAAAATAAAATCAGAACCGTTGGAGTGTCTAATTATGAGGTTTCTCACATTCAAGAGATATTGGCGGATGGACAAGTAGGCTATCACATTAATACTTCTTAATAGCCTTTCAGGATCTTCCTTCAATAAATCAAATCGAGCTTCACCCCCATTTCACTAGAGTTGAGTTGGTTCAGTTCTGTAAATCAGCTGGGATTCTCGTTCAGGTGTCTCAAGATGACTGCGAAAGATAATCAGCTCTGTTTAAGGCGTTTTCGTCTCTAGCTAAGCAAAACCAAGAGCTTCTAGATAGCTCAGAGTTACAACAAATTGCTTCTAGTCACAACAGCAATCCTTTAGTTTGTGTTTTCGCGTTACTTCGTAGTTTAATTTTTATTTCAGCATGTTCTTCTATCATGGGCATACAATCAGAATATCGCTATCATACCGAAGTCCTCAAACCCATCCAGAATTGATGAGAATTTGAGAGAGGTCGGTGTGTTTATTACAAACTATTAATTTCATGAGATGGCAATGACAATTTACAGGTTTTGAGAACAAGATTGACGCAAGATGAGATTTCCAAGCTCTCAACTCTCAATAGAGACAAGAATTACGTTGGTCGTTGTACTGGATGGCTGGTTGTCTGATAACCTGCAGTTTTAATTATAGTGAAAATGTTGTTGATTATGATTTTTATACAAATATACAACCGTACTCATACAATTTATACGACATGATATTGATCTCTAACAGCTACTATCCGTAAATGGTACGTTGAGCACATGAAGCTGTTATGTTATTAACGTGTATATTACTACATTAAATGTATTTCATATAAATACACAACAGAGTAATGATGCTAGAAGCATCTTTACCGTCGAGAAGAGCGTGAACGAGGTGGCTTCGTGTGAGTTACACGCTCAACATCATTGAAAAGAACAGCAGTTCCTCCTCCGGCAGTCGGAATACAATCACCCTACAAAATGTTATAATAGGTCAAACAGAGTTTTCGAAGGCACCGTGCAATTACAATTAGGCAGTTCAGCTTCAAACAAGCCTTTCTTCGATATCAGAAAAAGTGTTTGATGCTTGTGCAATTGATTCATGCAATACTTTGTTTTCTTCATTAGAAACCTGAAGCTATGTGTGTGCGTGATGAAAAGTGCAAACGTTAGAACAATACTTCGTGCAAGCTTGTACATGCTCTAGTCTGAAAAAAATTCTTACCTTCACGATACTTGTGCTGACATTGCCTTCATTATCGACTTCCTGGTGAGTAAGAACATACTCGGACGACTTTAGTAAATCTGACATCTTCAAAAACGAAGAATCATCATGAACGAATAAAACTTACATACCTCAGGTTTAGTTACATGCTTAGCATTAGATGGATAAACTGGACGGAGAATGCCTCCTATGGGAACTACATTCAGAGGTTGGTGATCCAATGTACGCGAAGCCGATTTCGATCTTCTTCTACACTTGGGATCCATGTAACCAGGTCCTCCAGGAGTAGCTCCCATTTTTTTTCTTTCTGCTCGCTCCGCCAACTGAGTGCTGGATGAACTAATCATCTTTCTCTACAAACAGCGAATTGATTTATTATAACTTGAATTTATCAACTTTAGATGAGGTCATTATAGGTGTATTATTCTCCACGTCGAACTTGTTTCTTAATCGAGTTACGCTTGGTGATACGCTGTTCTCGCATATGTCGATCTGAATTCAAAAAAGAATGTTTGAAAACAGCTGAACATGAGAAAGCTTACAGCAGCATTGATCACTCTCTCCTGCTTCCGTGAGTATTCCCTCGTTTCTCTCACACCTCGGAAGTAGTTGTCTATGTTAGCAAGATTTTTCTCATCGGTTTCATATTTTTGGACTCTATCCGTGAGCGATGCAAGGGCTCTCTGAACATCTAGATCTTCGGGAGAATTATTAGAAATGTTACCTTCACTTGTTTCAGCTCCGAACTTAATTGAAGAACATGATTGTCCGACTGTTCCTTCTCTTCTCTCAAAGCCTCTAACTGTATCTTCGAATAATTACTTTGAATAATCGCGTTCATGAAGTTCTGTTTGCATTCCGATACTAAATATTCCAGCTACGGTTAACAGGAACATGAGTACTAATACTTACGTAGTACTTTGAGGTACTCGACTAGATTCTTAGTATCATCCAAGCTCTTTTCATAATACTCGATGAGATTCCTAACAACATGAGCATCCTCTGGGGACTGCAAATCGTGAGTTTGGCTTGATAAGGAGATAGGAACAAACTTTGATTGTAGATACTGGAGGACTTTCGAGCACAAATTCATTATTAGTGAATGGATTCATAATTTGCTCCAGAGCAGCTCTCCTGCTCAAATAGAATGGTCTGGGAATGTGGAAGCCGTTTGTAGTCATTTCCAAACGATCTTCACCCCTTTGTACTTTAACATTTTGAGACTCTTCAGCAAATGCAAGAACATTCTAAACACAATTCAAATTTACGGTACTCGAAGAAAGGGTTACCAAGTTTTCCTCGAAGTCAGAAGGTCTTGGGTTGGCACATATGATCATACGAACTTTTCCTGATCCTTCAAAGTAGTTTTTGAATAAGTAAGTGAGTTTTGAATCGCGATATGGCACTGTTTCCATGAGACCACCTCTTTGATTTCTCCTGAATAGGGGAGTTATGATTGAAGTTTATGAAGAAAAACCTGAGTTTATCAATGCATTGTCTTAAAACCATTAAGCTCTTGTTAATATTTCCAGCCTCCATCAAACGCTCTCCCACATTATTCGTTCTTTTCGCTCTAGAAATTCAATGCGAATTGCGAGGTTTCTGCGAATTTCTATTACCTTTCGCTTCCTGCCAAATCCACCAAACACAGCTGACTTACAACTATCTGATCAAGATCACTTGCAGGATATGGTGTGTTAGAAGTTTCACTTATAGGTGCCATTACGAGCTTGATTGTGAACACACTGTGAGATCTCGATGAATCCCTATTAAGCGAAGTTTCAGCAGTTCTTCTTTTTTCTTCTCCTCTACAGAAAATTTCGAGCGCCTCGTTACTGTTTTCCACTTCGAGTTCACTTATGCCTTCTACATATACAACACCTTTCGAATCTAATCGAGTTTCCTTCTTCGTTTGAGAACTATGAGATAGAAATGAGGAGTTGGAAGTAAAGAAATAAACTACTTGTTCTTCTCAAGAAGATCGTAGCAATAGTTGTTGAATATTTCAATGTAGCTCACGAAAACGGAACAGACGTAGTCCTCAACATAGCCAGCCACCTACAATTGAAATTATTATTTTGAACAACAGAGCGCAACGTACTACAGATTCTTCGGTGTATCTTTCATCAACTTCTTGACTAGTATCCTGCCTCTCAATTTCCGACTGTTTTCTAGCCATATGAGCTTCGATTCCGGATCTTATACCGAACCCATTTTTACCATTTGAGAAGAAAATGCATTTTGGTAGTCTGGAAATCTTGTTTTGTGCTATCAACAGAACGCCTAGTATACTTGTTAACAATGCTGTTGAAAATTACATCAAGTGTACGCGGAAGAATACCAGAACCACCAGGAGTAGGTCTGCCTGTCATCGTGTATGTTTTACCACTTCCGGTAACCTAGGAAAGTATTATGAATATCCAGCAAGAAAAAGGAAACTAACTCCGTATGTGAATAAAAGACCGTTATAACCTGTTAATAATCCTTTAATTAGATCTTTTCCACATCTTTCAAATATGTATTTTTGGCCATCTGTTTCATGGAAAACGTGAGAAAACTCGTACGATTTCTCTTCCTGAAAATAGTACAAAAAAATTTAGAGATTAGTGGATGAAAACATACACAGATATTACCACCTCGCTTTGTGTAACCATCCGGAGGAATACATTTCAAAATTGTGTCAGTAACTGCCCGGAGGCATGAGTCGCTCTCATGATAGTTAGTAAGCCGACAAACAACCTAACAGAATGATGTTGTTCACTTCTTAGTTCAAACTCATACCTCTACAGCTTCGGCTTCAGGTACTTTTTTTTTATGGCGACACTCTTTACTATGCGCCCTTCTGTGTGCACTTTCCATTTTCGAGTAAGAAGAGTTCAAGAGTCGAGATGGTTTATCTCTTCCTTTATCTGAAAAAAAATAAATGACAGTATTGAGCTGAAATATAAGACAGAAAAACAATCTTCAAAGTGTTTTTTAACTTATTATTACAATTATTTATCTTAGAACTTTCAATTCAAACAAATTACTAAAGAGCATTATGCTAGTTTGAATAATTTAAAGTCGCGGCGGACGCTTGCTCCAAATCGTGGCGGGACCCAATTTCTAATTTATTGTGCTACACGATGGTGATGTGTGACATCTGCATCTATTAGATCGTGTCATATCTTCAATAAATTAAACGATACTTTTTCAATATTAATAATGAATGAATAAGTGGATTATCTATACATATATCTACATTTTCCATCTTTAATTGTGCTCCGAAGATAAAATTTTCAGTCTTGAATAACGAAACGCTCTTTTACAATGATAGAAAGGTTTATTTTGTACAGTGAAAGAGTTTAACGAGATAGCTGGGTCATATTATCGTATTTACATGTTCTTATGGAATAGATTACTTTCTTTTTCCAAAGCTTCCCCAGTTGGGATATCCACCATAGCCTCCTCCATTGATTGCTCCTGAATCAGTGGCATAGTAGCAGGCAGCTCCCTGAAGATTAGATATATCAGATCATTTTGTACTCGGTTCATATTACAGTCGCGGGAACCATGCCGTTTGTATAACTGAGAACTTCACATTTGAAAGAGAATTCTCCCAGTTGGAAAAGGTTAACAGCATCGCAATCGAATTGACGGCAGGCCTCCTTGCATTGCTCAATGTCCTTAAGGAAACACGTTTTCAAATCCTATGGATAATCTACCTGGACGTTGTCAATATCATAAACCTTTCCACCCTTGCATTCCATTCGCTGTTGGAGCACGTATGCTCGTTCACCTAAATATTGAGCCGCTGGCAATGCTGAAAGGTGTATAGTTGTTTATGGTACAATTAACAGTGTGAGTGCTAAGGATAGCCGTGTTCATTATCAGTCCTCTACTGTTCATGTTTCAAGGTTTGGAGTTAGATCTAACAGATTAAGGTAAACATTCGAACGGAATGAGGTTGGATAATGAACAACTTACTCTGACACGCACTTGCTAAAGATGAAATGATTAGAAGACAAGCAGCGAGCTGGATGGAGTGATTCATTGTTAGTCGATTGTTTTCTCTGAAAAGTTCAGTAATGAGAGATTCATCGAAGATTTAATCCAGTCATGAATTCGACGGTTATTCGTTAGATGGGAGTTCAGTTACAAAATACAATTCATGAGGAGCTATTGAATTTTACCAAAGTTGAGAAAATATGACATGCATGGTGCTTTTACAGAAGAGTAAACAATTATTCCTTCAAGAACTTAGAGTTCATGAAATAACAAAGAATATAATGAACGGTAGGAGTCATTCTTTATGTACATTAGAGCCTCATTGTCAGAACTCAGAATAGATTTGGGTACAAGGTATTCATCCAAACAAGCTGTAGAAAATGGTGTTAGAGTTGAACTGTGGCATGTGTTTCTCGATTGAAGTTTATATAGAGAGTTTATAAGAGCAGTTATGAAAATAATACTAATCGCTCTCTAATCCATCTGTCAAAGTTGATAAAAAGTGGGGTCTACAACTGGTTTTTTCTCGATGCCATTTGAAAAAGAATAAATGCGTGCCGTTGGTGTAAAACAGAGGTATAGATAAGCTGATTTGAATTTCAGTTAATAACTACGTACGGTTCGAGATAGACTTCAGGATAATTGAAAATTCAGTGACATCATTTTTTGAGCATTTCGAGGCATCACACGATTTAACGACGAAGACGAGTTTTTTCACGGCTTAGCATTTGGAGTAGATAGTTTTGGAAAATGACAATGTATCAAGTCTAAAGGAAGAAACACGAGGAGCTTCAAAATCTGCTAGAAGAGCTCTGAGTGCTGAATTCCATAGAATAGTCTCCTATTTATATACAGTGGTTTTCAATATGTCCTTACATAAGAACAGCTGAATGCTTTTAATATTTACTTTTGATTCTTCTCGATCATCAGAAATGATTGTTCGGTTTCAGAACTATTCTGAAATATTTATTTGAAATGATACAAGAGCTATGTTAAAACATCCCAGATAATAGTGACGCCATGGCTTCTTATAGCTTTTTTTATATTTCTTTTCTCGGGTAAGTCATTGGATTTCTACAGTGACGAATCTTGACGTCATCGTCTATGGATACAACTGTTCGCCCATGCTGCTTATGGAGCTCTTCTTGTGTGTAAGAAACAGCTGTAGTGATATATATATATTATTTTTATGTATTGGAACTCTCTCAATACGGTTCCGCTGACTAATCTTGATGTTCATAGGTCGTTTTCTTATTGGAATAGCTGAATAATCTGTACCGGAAAGTGAACAGGTTCAATGTTAAGTTTTCTTGAGCAGCATCATCAAGAAATTCCTGTGTAACTAAGACGAAACGAAACTTGTCTCAGAAGTTTGAAAATATTTATACATTGACGGTTATTTCAACAATGACTCTTGTCGACTATTCGTTAGGTACTATGGAAAGTGGTTTCAAAACAGCTAAAAGTAAATAGTTACTCATTATATTTTGTCCCGAAAAACACCTTCTCTCATGTCTATGTACATTTGGAACATTTGGATGAACGCAAATGTTCAATGGTCATTAAGAGCCATCTTGTCTCTAAGATATAGAGTATGGCGTAATTTACCTTATAAAAATTCAAATGAATGATCTCCATGAGGGAGGCTGTCCTTGAGCCTGAGCTCAACTGATGACGTATATTTCAACGGAAAGGGCAAAAAAAGCACGAGAAGAAGACAATTTACTACGAAATGAAACTTACTCACAACCGCCCACCGCTCATTATTATTAGCGTAAGGAATGCTTTATGCATTTTTCAGCTTCGTTGTTCACTACTGTAACCCATCATTATATTGCAGATGATATTTCATTCTTACTCACAACATCTACAGAGCGGTCGTGCTCAGCAGTATCATTGAGAAAATGCCATTGTGAATCACAATCACTACAGCACCCCAAACGGATTATACTGCTTCGTTTTATTCTCCAGAATCGCTCTGTTTTTTCTTCAAGTCCGCATAATATTATGCACATGCAAATTCAGTGTATGTCGTATTGCGGCTCATTTATTTCAATAAAATAGACGAATACTTAGCGAGAAAATCGAAAAAATTCATTCTTGAATGAACGCATTTCTCATAGCTTCTTCATGGATCTGAAAGATGTTTCAAGTTTCCGATAATCGTCATTGAATTCAGCTCTGTATCATTCATTTTTACATGTGGGAGTGTTCGAATTCAACAAAAAAAGAGACATAATCGAAAAAAAATGAATTGTTGGCTAATTTTTCATAAAACAAGACTGCATTTCTTTCATTTTATCTTTGTGTTCGTTTTGTCTTTTCAATGAATTACTACTGAGAAAGTAATTTTTCTTTGTCTTCAAAAACTGCATTTCTCAGAGGAACGAATTCTCATCTCCCCTCACTCCTTCTGTCCATTTTGTAGTTGTGAATTTCATTGAACGTAAGAAGCAAAAAGAATCAAATACAGCTCCTGTGGTTTCATGCGAACATTAAATGATATTATTAATATGTAAAAATTGAAATTTGAATTCATCCTCATCCACATGGGAACATCAACAAAAGCTTTTGAAATGTCTGCTGTATGAACAGCAGCTGTATCGATTTGATTTCTATCTTTATATTCGTTTATTTATTTATCACATTTATATTATCCATAAATGGATACCAATACATATTCTGTTCGATTTCTGATATAATTCAATACTTTCAGGTTAAAAATTGGTTAGCATTAACTAGTTTTCTCGTATTTATCCTTTCTCGAAATCTTCCCTCATCATCATTCATTGGTTTTATTACATTTCAACGAAAAAAATTTGCCTTTTCTTTTCGAATGAACTGAATAGAAATGTCATCAGATAATGAAAGTCTAAGCTATTCCTCATCAGAAGAATCAATTGTGAAAACTCAGGTATTCATTCGATACGCACAATGGTAATTCACGATATTCAGGGAACTAAACTGTTCAAATACGCCGATGTGGACAACAAAGGTTATATAGTGAAAGTAGTTGATGATAATATTTCATAATGTAATCCAATACTTATAGGAAGATTTAGCCTTAATTAAAGATTATGTCAGCACATCTCATCTCCATGCTCTTGAAAACATGATGAGAGAATCAAATGAAAGCTATATATCAGAAAAAGAATTCATTCAAATGATCAGTGAGTTTTCTCATTCTAATTGAAAGTTCAACAAGGAAAAAAAAGTTGAAAAAAGAGGGAAATGAATGATTGAAATTCCATTAAGGGATTGTTTCATCTCTCGTAAGTCTCATTAACAGGCTTTGCAAATAAATAGTCTGCAGTTTCTAACTCGAAATGTACTCTTACTATACAAGTTACTATTGATTTTCAGGAAGAAAATAGAAGATTCTATTTTCACTGAAATTTTCATTAAAAAATGACTCTGTGCCAAAGATTTTCAATTTATGCTGAAGTATCTTTTGTTGATTGTACTCTCGAACATCAACAAGAAGATGTCAGAATTTGCTTTTATGCTCAAGCAATTGAACACTCTCTCAGACATTCCCAAAAAATGTTTTTCATTTCAATTTTCATTTCAAATGATTTCCAGATGATCTAGCGGAAGCCCCAGTGAACAGTCCTGTGGAAAAGTTCGAAAACGTCCAGGTTGTTTACACGAACCGAAAAATGCTTGATGAGCTTCTTTTTCAGAAAAACCACGAATTAGAAAAATCTGAGCTTTCAGATCCTTATAGCTTAGCAGCAGAACTGTCTTCAGCTACCACTGACTGTAAATACGAAGATCCAATCGTGGATATGCTTAGGTACTTTTTTGTTAAATCTTTTCTTATCACAAGTCTATTGTGATCATCCCCTTGTGAAAGTATATATGCTTCTGAACTAAATGTAGAGATACTATGGAATTATCAATGACATTGGATGAGGATGTTGACGAAGATATGATGAAGTTCAATGTTTTATCTCAAACACCTGTTCATATCCCTACAGTAATGATAACACCTTGTGAAAACTCATACCCCCGGTTTGACATTCATCTTCAACTTCTTTTCCCCCCAACCTTATATAATCCTCTCCTTTTATGTTTGAATCAAGGTTTTTATTCATTTATAACTATTATCTTACAGAAGTCAGTTGGATTCTCCAGACTATCCGTTCATAGTTGAGAATGTGGCCTCCAGACAAAGCACTCCGACAATTGTAGAAAAACCGTCATATGCTGTATCCATTAAAGTATTTTCTTCTTCATAAAAACAGACGAGATTACACCATTCCAGAAACCACAATATCGTCCTATAGAACCAGGAGATATGCAAATGAGCTCAGCTATTTTAGGAGCTCCTTCTCTTGCTGATGTGAATGATTTCTCTCATTTAGCTGAAAATTTCTTGTTTACAGGAACTAAGTGAAGCTGAAGAGGGTAATAGCTCCAGTTATCAAAATCAATTAGATAAGGTATACTCTTTGTTACAAAGAAACTATTGCTGATTATTTTATAGAATAGCTGTACGCCGGATACAATATTCAAAGTAGTTTTCGTTGGGGACTCGGCAGTTGGAAAAACTTGCTTCCTCCACAGGTAATTTTCACGCTTAATACTTAGTACAGCTAGAATACATGACATACGTTTTGAATCCAAATGATCATTGTCGTGAACACGTCATATAAGTTTCCCATACAGATTCAACGCAGTATGTTACACTATAAGAAAATCATCAGCTGGGCTGTGGTTGAACTGTGTTTTTTTGAGACAGGTTCTCTTGATACTGCTGCAGAAGCGTTGTTCTTCATTTCATAGGGTCGGGTTTACAAACACAGGCCACATTGTGAGAAAAATATTTATATTTTTCAATGTAATCATCAAGTATGTATAAGATGGTGGAATTAATATCCTGGAGCGGTACGTGGTGGTGGGCAGTGGTCGCAAGATCCCTTGGATCCGTCTTGTCCTGGGGCTCCTGGTTGTCCATCGTTTCCTGGGGCTCCTGGTTGTCCGTCCTGTAAAGAATGCATAAGTAAACGTTATTTTTTA